CATTTATCCCCGCTATGAAAAGTTTTCCCATTTCCCCTCAGTAATATGCGATAACCTGAAGGCCAATGCTATCAGAACTTTAGCCATATTTGTTACTTTTGTTGCTTCCTTGTTCTTACATCGTTGACATGGCCGCCACGTGTACCTCTTTCATGCTTTGCGATAAGTTCCTTTTTCATCTCAATCCACACTCTTCTTTGATGCCATGGTTAATAGGTAGGGGTTATATATAAAACCAAACACGGTAAAAATTAAGCGACAAAAGCAATGAAAATTCGAGCGAAACGCAAGACATGCTTTCACAGGCAGAGAGACAACTTGGGCGCACAACAGATGAGTTTATGCAGCGATCGCATTTTTTCGAGATCTTCGGGAAGATATAATAAAACAGGTAAAAATTAAGGATTTTTTATATTTTTGCTGTGAACATATCTAAATAAATACAGTATTTGTTTGTTATTATCTTAATATATACAGCATATAAAGTGAAAGAAAAGACTAATAATTGTACTTTGTACTAGGATTTGTATGAAATCCAATGTATGAAATAAAACAAATTATATGAAAGATCAATAAATAACTTCGAAAAAACATGTTAATAAAAAATTACGAGTATTGAAATTATGAATATTGCACTATATTTGTAATATTGATATTATTGTGGAGAATTTTTTGATGAAATTCCGAATGTGGAGAAATTTTACACACACTGGGGCTAATTGGTTCTGGTAACCTTGACGGAAGAGGCTCTGTCCGTGATATTGAAGATATTCGTAGTACAGGTATCCTTGATTAACTCAACTAACTAATCCCTCGATGCTACCGCGTATATCAAAATCGAGTTAATCAAATACAGTGTTTACAGTATCTCGGTACTCGACCGAACAATCACGATCCATTTTGTATCCTTTAGTTCAAAATTTTCCGAATGAAACTTTCAAAATCACACGTCGAACGTTTAGGAGCATCTTTTACATACACACTACGAGTATTTTTTACTGTTTCTTCTTTCTTTCTTCTTGCAGGTGTTAATATGGAGATTATAGCTCAAATAGGCTCTTTCTCCGATAGACTTGTGTATGATCGCTATGCGACCGATGAGCCAGCCGTACCTGAACGGCCTAATCGCGCGCGGGGGAATTAATGCCTTCCGGGAGGACTTTTATGGGGAACTGGCCTCCTATTCAGTCGTTATTGGCAAGGAGAAAACCCGGAAAACTCCAAGCAGCCAGCCTGTCCGACCGTGGCGCGAACCCACGACGAACCTCCCAGTCTTTAGGGTCTGGTCACCACTACGATGAGCGGCAACGGAGACCACTCGCCCACTGGTGGGGGCATTTTTTTTTTTTTTTTTTTTTTTTTACTGTTTGTATAGTGTTATATCCTTTACGAAACTTAAAAGCCTACTTAATATGCCCGATACGCATTTTATCTGCAGAACGCAAACAAAATGCGAAGTAAAGTTTGAAAATAAGCGCTTATAAAACAAAGAATACAATATCACATTAGCGATAATGGGTTAACTAATTCTGATACTCACAGAAAAACACACCGAATCCGACATTTTTTACTTGAGTTCCCTCATTATGGTAACTTATCTCGTTTTGAATCTTACGTATTTAAAGGGAACGTAATCCGAGAAAAGATAACCAACCATTCGATTAGTTAGCGTTACATCTAACGTGGACACTGTATCATCCCCATTTCTTATAGTAATTAATAACAGGTTAGTGGTTATAATGAAATTATTTGACATACAAAAAATGTTAACAATGTTCAATAAGATTGGGTGGTTTGATAAAACGGGATACTCGTTGTGCAGCTCAACACGTGTTTCTACTTATAGTATAGCATAATGTCAAATTAAGTATTGTTTAACTAAACTTTCACATCCAACTGCTCCTAATTTTTTGTATTGCAAGAATTAGACTATAGTTATATTTAGCTGAGGGCACACCCAGAGTTGATAAGTTGATTCAGTCTTAAAAGTGAAGATGAAACGTATACTTGTGACATTTGCATCCAGAACTTATTACTGTAATAACAAATCTTTGCTCTTTAGCCAGTGTTTCGACTATTAACCCGCTCTTTCCTATTTATATGAGTAACTTCATAGTTTAACATATTGATATTTAAATCACCAATTACGTAACAACTGTTTACATATGAATCTATAGAAACACACTGTAATAAATCAGACAACAGAAGTAAAAGTAAGTAAAATGAGGTTGTAGATCTTTTATACGATAGTTATAATCTTATTTTTATTGAAAAGATTCTTTGGTAAACGAAAATTCATAACAGATATGATGTTTTACAAACATCAACATACCCTCATATTGTCTATTGTTACGTTTCATAATTCAATATTATAACTTCTTGTAAGGAATTGCCATTAATTAAGCTCGTAATTCTAAGTTTAGAAATAATATGAAAATCAAGTTTTAGATTGTTTAACAATACCAGAAGCAACAAATATTATCCTTGTGCGTTAACGTAAAATATGGATATATTTTGTTTATGAAGAAAAAAATGAAAATGAAGTTCAGTTTTGTATCCGGCCCTTCCAAATGCCAAAAACTGGCATCAAAACTTGCGACACGTACAGTACACAGACATTAGTGTACCTCACACTGCCTGACGAAGTGATAAAAAGTGGACATATTTATTTTTCTATATCTAGTAACTGTGGTTCGAATTTAATTTATTGATAAACCTATACATTTTCAAATATTCGCTGGTGTGGATTTTCGTATATTTATAACCGTGTGATGATTTTTGGTAGAAGTTTTTCCATAGAAATATTACAGTCACTACGGAATTTTTGTTAATATTCAGTTTAAAGTTTGACTTTGTACTAATACACTGACTTTGCACTTATGAAATTTTGACTTTGCACTGATAAATACAATACATTTTATATATTTTATCCATTTAGATAAATTGCATAACACGTGTTGGGGTATTATTCAGCTTTTTTATTACTGATGACAATTACTATTTTTAACAAGAATAACTTTCAATGAAAATGTAATATGATTATATTTATTATGAATTTATTATTTCAACGATAATAAATTAATCGATAACGATAAGAAAGATAAGAAAGTAGTTTTTGAGGAGTCATTTTTTGAGGTCATCTTTTGGCACATAGAGGAGCGGGACATAATCATAAACTTCATTTTTCTTTATCTCAGAACCAAATATTAATACATTCAATAGCTCTTTAAGCATCATTTATTTCTTGTATAGGTTGTAAGATTTCCCATATGAGAGTCAATATTCTTGAAGAGTTTAGATTTTCAGCCATTTATATTTAATTGAAAAAAATAATCAAAGTTGCACAAAAGATGAAAATTATCACCATTTTCAATGTAATCGTGATTCACACGCAAGTATCACAGGAATGATAATAATTACAGTATATGATTAATGCACGCCTATATTTTGTTATTGTTTACTTCATTTGAATTATATTTCTAAAATATGTACAAAATTTTCCATTTAAATATTTTATAGGCTAATATATTTTATTTTTATCGAATTTGTATTTCGATTGTTCTATTCAAACAGATTTCACAATGAAGAGACTAAATCTTTTCCCAGTTATCTTAGACAATTAATTTATTTTTAGATAAATGAAGTTACAATAATTTGTGTAACTGAGAAATATCAAAAGGAAATATCTACACAATTTTATTTGAGTGTAAATAACGAGTAAGAAACTGTTAGTGTAATTCTTCTTCTGGTTTTCTACATGACATTAATTTAGAATTTCAATTTCGAAATATGGCAATTCTCTTTCATTCAGCATCAAACACACAATTCCAAATCATAAATTCCATGCTATAAGAATGAAATTATATTTGGTTATGGCAATGCGACACTGCCGAGGGGATGCTTTTCCTTGACTCTTATGGGAAACTAGCTCCTATTTAATTGTTACTAAGGTGAAGAAAAACGAACTCTGACCTTTCCTCACCTTCTCTATTACTTCCGTATACCATAATTTGATAAAGATCGTGCGGGGAGCTGGACCAATGTCCAATCCAAGATTTTCTACTAACTGGTGAATCGAACTCAATGGATGATGTATCACTCGGATAGCAATATATTTCATGAACTTCTCTGTTAATTTCAAAATTCTGGTTTACTTAAACTTTATAATTATTTATTATTTGAATTAAATTAGCAAAAATAATAGTTTTTATAGTCGTATCTCCAGTGGGTTATCTCTAGTATGACTTAATAAACTTATTCATTTTTGGCATTTATAATCTTTTAAAATATTCATCCCCTTACTTCCAAAAATGAAGCTGTTCCTTTTTTATAATGATTAATAATTGATGCTATTAAATTCTGATGATTAAAAGTCGAGACGGTGGGAAGATAAAGGGGATCGTGTGTATCTCCAGTAGGATCGGACTTAATGACGATTTTACTCGTTATTACCATTTACAATTTTTTTTATAAAACCCGTCCCTACCCTCAAAATTAAGGTTTTTTTGCCATTTTATAATAATTAAAAATATTAAAAATTTTTAATAATAAAATATCATAACAGATAGTGCCACACACGCAGTATTAAATGTTGCCGGGAAAGTTAAGCAACTCTTTGATATGCTTTTTAAATTAATTTCAAATTACACGGTTTAGATTTGTTGAAAGTTTATTTCATTATTCTAATCCATCGTTTTGTAAATAATATAAATAAAAATAGTAAATAAGTTTAAAAACAGGTTTTATATCGTAGTATATTTGAAATTATGGAACTTCCTTCTTGGTCGGGGCCCGGGAAAGTCGTATAAGAACCATTGCCAGCTTTTTTGTTTTGTATTTATTATATAAAATATAATTTCGTACCTATTGAATGTTTTGATAAAGCTTTTGATAAGAACAATTTTTAACAATAAGATATTTTCAAAAGTTCTCAGTACGTCAGTAGCCGCATTATCGCCTATTTTAAAAGATAAATAGATAAAAACAGATTATAAAACAAAAATAAATTAAAATTCTAATCGAAACTAGTTTAAATTCGAGTATTTTTCTAGCAATAAGGTAAGTAACAATAATTGTTTATTTTAATTTCTAATACTGTATTCATTTTCATATTTTATCATTAATTAACTTAAAATATATATAAATTGTATGTTTTAAATATTCATATACATATTCGTGAACAGTTTAAAATGTTAAAGTACAATTACAAGGAAAAGAAACAAATATTGATTTTAATTAAAATGTCTGAAAATTTAAGTAGCCACTTCTAAATCTTTTTCAATTTAGTTACTATTTTTTTTTTTTTAATTTATATTATTTATAAAACGCTGGATTAGAATAATAAGATAAACTTTCAATAAATCTAAGTTCGTAATTTGAAATTAAAAAATCCTATCGAAGAGTTGCTTAACTTTCCCGGCAACATTTAATACTGCGTGTGTGGCACCATCTGTTATGATATTTTATTATTAAAATTTTTAAATAATTTTAATTATTATAAAATGGCAAAAAAAAACTTAATTTTGAGGGTAGGGACGGGTTTTATAAAAAATTGTAAATGCTAATATCGAGTAAAATCGTCATTAAGTCCGATCCTACTGGAGATACACACGATTACCTTCATCTCTCGACTTTTAACCACCAAAATTTAATAGCATCAATTCCCTAATGAATCAATCCCTGCAAAATTTCAGAAATTTTTGACAAAAAGCACAGGAGTTATTAAGTTTCAAAGAGGGTGAACTAAATACCTCCACATACACTAACATTCATATATACAGAAAAAAAACCCCGAATCTTCTTGAATTTCTTGACGTTTTAAGGTCTCCCGAGTCCAAAATTGTAAAAATCTTGAAGGACCATTTTTTGACCGATCGTTATACTTTCCTTCTGTTATATTTACAGCCGGGAAAGTAAAAATCACTAGTAACGAGTTCTTAAAAAATATTATTTCACTTCATTATTTGTGTTATCTATGCATACAAAAGTTCCTACACCGTTCAACGTATCCGCACTAACATGGCAAGAGTATTCTTCAACGCCCTAGAAAAAATGCTGCAGGATCCCTACCACGAAACACTGTAAAGCCAATTCCCTCTTAAAAAGTTTCTCGATTTAAAGTTATGTTTTATAGTTCATTATTCTAAATACCCGGATCAATAAATATAGGCCTACACTACTAAAACCATTGTTTTTATCACCCTTTTTCAAGTGAAGCTCACCGATCCTTCACTCCCTCAAAAGCGCGAAAAATGCTGATCACACGCAGCTAATTACTGATAATACTTTGGGGGACCCGGGTTCGAATCCGGACGGATCGATGGTCCGTTCGGATGCGTCGGGCCCCGTCCCTCACCACCCGGTAATCCCAAAGTGGGCCTGGCCGAACCCATAACGGGCTTGCTAAAAGAGGCCCTCTTAGTGCCTACAGAGCAGAAAGAGTTTAAAAAAGTATGAAGACGTAAAATAAGAAGGAAAAAATTACAACAAAAAAAAAAGAATAATGTAGAGCGCACAAACTATCATATTTTGCGAAATCATAAATTATCCTTTTTATTTTTTTTATCTTAATCTTATCTTAATTATCATTGACGCCATTCTGAGAAATTTTATGCTCAAGGTATTTTTTCTCTTTTGTTTATTTGAATTAAAAGAATTTTTCCCTTTCAAAATCGAAAGTTAAGTAGTAATAATTCTTGATTGATTAAATAAATTTTTCCCTGTTTAGAAAGTCTCTGTTTCCTTGCTGACGGATAGTTCTAGACTTGGATTTGTGAGGGGAGAAGCATTCGAGTATATTTAAAGAATTCTCAAACTTTTTTAATATTACTAGGTACGTGTCTCTAAAAGTAACTAGTTTATTATTTACTGGTAATTCAATGTAGCTAATATCATTATCCTGCAGATATTTAAAATAGTTTTTACACTTTCTTATGATTTTTCGACAGGGTAAGTTAGTTATTTTATGGATAATTCAATCATTTCTTTGTGAAAAAAAATGAATATGATACGTTTGTCAAACGCTTGGACCGTTTTAAACGTGATTATTTGAACTAATTTTCTACCATCCTCATTCATTTTAAATTCGGTCGTGAATCATAAATAAATTTCAATTGAGTATCTTCAGTTATGTGTTGTCATTTTCACTTCTAAACGAATGCGACTAGATACCATTTCTAAGCTATAACAAGAACAAAACTTCTGCAATGTCGGCAAATTTACAGTTGTGAAGGTGTAGGAATGTATTCTCTCAAGTCTCCAAGTGGTTGGCCAGATAAACTTTCTTTTCAAACAAAACGATATCGTACAAGAAAGATTGACGAATGATACTAGGCTTGGATTCGTAAAGAAAAGCAAATGGAAAGTCATGTGAGAATGTGAAACATAGAAGAGGTTCAACGTAAAAGTGAATACGCTGTTAGAATCAATAAAGTGCTTGATATACAATCTTGATTTGTCCGAATTGCAGGGCTGTGGAGTCGCGTAAAAATCTACCGACGCCAACTCCGACCAGGGGCGGACTTGTTACCAAAAGAGACCCGGAAATTCTGATGTCATTACGTGACCTCAGAATAAAAGATTCAATAAATAGAGTTCTAATAAAGATAAAACGCAGAAACTTTTTATTTCAAAGCTAAAAGACTTCTCTGAGTAATATATAAATATGTATTCGATAATTTTTACTTTTCCGGCTGTTATATATAACAGAGGGAAAGTGTAGCGCTCGGTCAAAAAATGACCCCTCCCAAAATTTTACATTTTTGGACTCGGGACACCTTGAAATTTCGAGACATGCAAAAGATTCGAGGTTTTTTTCTATGTGTGTGGATGTTATGCTGTGTGTGGGAGATATGATTTTGTTCACCCTGTTTGAAGCTTAATAATTTCTGTAGTCAGAATCGGAGTAAGATGGTTTAACACAGGAGTTAGTTATTAAGCGTCAAAGTGGTTGAACTAAATCGTGTCCCCATATACATTCTAACATCTTAGGCGAGAACATCTTAATGGGTTTTACTGTACTATTATAAAATGACAAAATAGCTTACTTTGAGGGTAAAGACGAATTTTATTTTATTTTAAATTTTGTACGCTAATAACGAGTAAAATATTTATTAAGAGATATGACACATGACCACTTTTATGTCTTCACCCTGTCGACCTTTAATTAAGAACCAAAATTGAATAGTATTAATGCCTCTTTATACGCAAGCTACAGTGCCACATTTCGTTTCTTAAACTTTACCCATTCTGAGATATTGTTTAATATCTCAGAACAGAAAATAAAGAAATTAAACAAATTAGACGTTAACACACACACGCGCACGAAATTTTCCCCTTTATTGACTTTTTTGAGAGGTTCGGGAGGTCTCCAAACGTGTAGCTTTGCAAAAAAAATTTGGAGGGTCAAATTTGACACGATTCCAATACTTTTCCGTTTTATATACATAACAAGTTGGTAAGTAAAAAGGAGTCGGAGTCGGTGGATTTTTCGACGACTCCGACTCCGGCTAAAACACCAAAACTCCACGACTCCAACTCTGACTCCACAGCCCTGCCGAATTGTAACATAACGATCAAAGACACTGCAAAAACTGTCCAAGATTGACTGAAATTGCAAGAGTTTGACATTCGGCAATAACCTCAATCTCTGATCGTTAATCCTATTGAGCTTCTATAAACTACAATAAAGAAAAAAACTCTTAATATCAAACATCTGAATTAATCGAATAGAATCCAGGATATCTGGAAGGAACTGTTCTGTATTGTGTCCCAGACGTCCTACATGAAGTTTCAGATGTACTGTACTGTAAAACTAAATATTATCTAGATTTGATCGAGAGTAAGACGAAAAAAATTGAAGCTGTGATTTCATCAAAGAAAACAGACAAAATATTTTCTTTAAAGAAAGTAATCGATAAACTTATATTTCCCAATGTTATCTAATATTTAAATTAGATTTTGTTTCTTTATAATTATTAATCAATCACTAACCACCTTAGGACTGTTGAGAAAGATTTATTTAAAAACACGCAAATCATCTCAGCCTAATTTATTAAATTAAGCCATCATCAGATGATATACCGGTATTTACAATTACTACTTTTTAACTGTTTGAAAGAACAATGATCCACGCGGAATTTTTAAATAATTCTTATTGCCCTGTCAGTACTAAGAAGGCCTTTTTTGGCAGGCTAACTGTGGATTTGGCCAGGGACACAATGGGGCAATCAATTGGTTCAACATATCCAGATGGGCCACCCCCGAAAACTTCCTGGAGTTTTTGGGCCCGACAGGATTCGTTCCCGGGTTCCCAGAGCGCCATAACATCCAACAATTCTGTACTTTGAGTAAAATTTATAATTACAACACTGCTTATACATCTGTTGTTTTTAATATTTTTATTGTTTTCCTTGTTTTTGAAGCATTATGATCAATGTCTTTATTCAGTTTAGTAATTATCTCGGAAACCTTGGAACTAAGCTAGAAGTTTGCACTTGATATCCTTGAACAACAACCAGGACATGTAGCGCACATTTTATGTTCTTATCTCTAATTTCAAATTTGTATTTCGTAACCGTATTTAACTGCTTACAACTTGCTTCACACGCTCAATTACTGAGTATAAATAGAACTGACAATTCAAATAATCATGTACTGAATTCTAGAAATATTACTCAAGAGACTATAGTATTATTATTATATAGGGTCATCGATTATAATTGAAAACATTTATATTATTATTTTAATATAAAATGAAACGTTTATTCAAAATATAATATATAAATAAAATAATATCTTGTTTTCTACATTGTTTCTGCGGGTAATCATGTAACTCAAGATAAATATGAGCTTGGCATTTATACAATCATCGTTGTACTGTACTGTACATATATAGGCCTATACAGTATATATAAGAAGCTTTAAGTTTCTAAGTTTCTAACTTTCTAAGTTTCTATATAATTTTCTATTCTTTTTCAGTTCTATGTTTAAAATATGACACTACAAGCATCTAGATACGTAATCAGAAGTTTGTCCGGTTTTGAAAGATGCCTATCGAATATTAGATATCAAACTACGGAAATTTTTGTTCAAGATACGGAAGAAGATATAATTAACGCTAAACCGTTTGAAGAAATACCAGGAGACAAGAGAATACCGATTATTGGAACCGCGTGGACATTTCTACCTTTCATTGGTATGTATGATATTTAAATATAGACCTATGTCCGAATTACTTTTGAAAGCAATGCATATTCTAACGTGAAAAATGTGTAATGGGAATTGTGAATAATGCAGTGGAAATCACACATTTGTGCAGTAATTAACTGTCCGATTTTCGGTTATATAAGTATTTCTTTCTTCTGGTTAAAGTTAAAATATTTACATAAATTAATCAGTGTATGATAGCCTAAAAACCTATTCAAAACGGTACCCGAATAAAATGGTAATCAGAATAAACAGAAGAAATTCTTCGGAGTAATTTTCTATATTAAAAAAGAATCTGTTCCAAACGGAAACCTGCAAAGTAGGAAAAATATTCGATACCGTGCGATTCTAGTTTACACACGTTTTACTGTACATTTGGCATACGAAAAAAAAAGAGTTAATTTAAAAAATTTGTGCAGTATGGCGGGGAAAAAGCCTTAGATTAAGACCTGTAGAAAGCTTTCTGATTTAGATATATCTGAACCTATTTTCCAAATTATAAGCTAGTATGTTAGAAGAATGAAATACCTTACTTCATAATTTTTTCGATAATTTGAAATTATGGTTATACTAGACTAAAAACTCTTTTTGAAAAAGTTGCACATAGCATATACAGGATGTCCCAAATTAAACTTGAAGTTTCCCAGTTGGCTACAGTAAAAACTATTTATTACAAAGTCATGAAAGTTTGGGAATGCCTTAATGAGATGAGAATTTTTCTAGAGCAAAAAAAGTTAGTTTCAGAAACCACCACTAGAGAGCGCTTTTCAAGCTGAACTAGTGGGCTGCAAGATGTTAGGAATTGAATCCATGCGATTTTTCTCTCGGGCTTTGGCCTATCGTGATCCCATAACATCGCTATCAGACTTTCAAAGATTTTCTTTCATAAGATAAATATAAATTTTATGAATATTGATTAATATCGTTACTTATGAGAAATTTCATTTCAGTTTCTAGAGAAAAATGGTACTTGGTAATTATACGAAACACTTTTAGACCAGAACACCTATCTAACCAATGCAATAACTCTAACTCACAATCAGTGTTCGGCATTACTGCAGCCCAATAATCTCATCAATATAACATATGTATAATTAACACGTGCTAAATATATTCTTCTATTGTGTTTGAATACACAATAAAATAATATACTTAGCACGTAAATCTTATTAAGCAATTACTATAAATAATTGTAATGTATGATAATGTTATAAGTAAATAGATTATTGAGTGAATCACTTTGCGTCACGACAAGACAGATTAGATTAAGTAACAATATTAACTGAACTTATAATAATATTTATTAAAACTTTTAATAAAAATAATGAAACGTGAGTGACAAATTTTAACCAATGGCAGTGCGAACTGACGGTGCTTTTGTTTATCTGGGTTGTATAAAAAAATCGCTTTCGAGAGAATAACTCTATACGAATATTTCATAGTCAGTCTTTCATGAATGTGGCCTCCGTCTTCAATCATTCAACCGCCCCATTGTTGGTTGGGAAAACCCACAGTGGGTATAAAAAAGAGGTCTTTTACTATTCACAGGACGGAAAGAGTTTTAAAAAAGTCGAATCAGTAATTAGACAATAGAGTATGCTTTTACGTCCGCATTTCCTGCACAATGACATACGTAGAAAAGAGGATTGTATTGGAATCGTGTCAAATTTGACCCTCAGGTTTTTTTGCAAATCTCCAAGTTTTGAGACATTCTGAATCCAAAAAAGAAAAAAAGAAAAATAAAGTTTCGTGGATATGCATATGCGTGTATGTGTGTAGGCATGCATTTCGCTTAATATCTCAGGATGTGGTAAAGATTAAAGATTAAGAAAAGAAATTTATCGTGGTGACTCATATATCAGAGGTATTAATGCTATTAAATTTTGGTGGTTAAAGGTCGAGGGAGTGAAAAGATAGCAGGTGGCCATGTGACATATCTCGAGAGGGGTAGATCTTAATGAAGATTTTATTCGTTATTAACATTTACACTTTTTTATAAAGTCATTTCCACCCTCAAAATGAAGCTTATGTCATTTTATAGTAATTAAAAATATAAGAAGTTTTATAATAAAATTTCATAACAGATGACGCCGCACAATTTTATTTATTTTGCTTAATAATATAAAAGCTATTTTTTAAAATAAAAACTCGTAACAGCCGGGAAATTACGCAAATCGTTGTTGGATTTATTTAATTTCTTTGTTAACAGATTAATTTCCATTTTTGCCCTAATCACAATATCTCTTAAACGTATATTTTGTTTAATTTTAGAACATAAAATCCTTTTTTAAATAAATTAAGGCTTTTGTACAATTAGATAGTATATGCTTAGACCTACATTGTCTTAGGAATGCCAGAATTTTCTTTTTACTATTCGCGTAAAATATTCAATCGCAAAAAACCCGAGTTATATTAATCAGTGCCGTAACTAACTTTTTATATGTCCTATGCAAGATTTTAGTTTGGCTCCTCTTTTTTTTGAAGAAAAACATAAAAACAAATACGATAGAAATGGCTAGTTATTTAAAAACTTGAATCCGTCCACATAGTAGAAAATTTAAAATTAAAATATAATACTGGTCATTTTTTAATACCCAATCTCAAAGTCTTCCCTTCGTCCTTGCACACGTTGCACAAGCACAGAATCCGTTGCATCTACCTAGTTACAAAGGCAGTGATATCAATATCAGTAAAGAATAAAAGATCAATTCATATGCCCAGATAATAACCATTTGACAAACTACGATACGAAGTATAACAACTTCCACTATTAACGCTCTTATCATGAACAACAACAAGAGAAACATTACCAGAGAATAAAAAAAAGTCTATTATTTTATCTCTGACGTAATTATCGTTTGTTAGTACGAATTTTGATATAGATTTTGTGTCGTAATCATGTCTTTCAGGTGTAAACAGATCTGTTGCAATATATAAACTATTTGACAAATAATTTCATATTTGTACACTATCGACATTATCAGACTTCAAAAGATTATTATTGAAATCACGATTAAATATCAAATTTTTAAATAAATGTACTTTGATGTATAATCCAACAAACTATACAGTATATACACCAAATAAAACTACTGTACAGTAGAGCGTCGTTTATCCGAAGGTCTGTTATCCGAAGGAATTCCAGTCGACAAATTTAAATTTTTGCCACTGCTGTGGCGCTGTAATCTTTGGCTATGTCTTCGGCTACTCAAATATTTTACGTTTTTGATACTAAATTAACTTCTGAAGTATAATTTTTTTATTGTTTTTATATTTTTCATTATATTTATTTTGTTCATACAAAATAAAAAAATAATTTTTAACGATACAATAGTCTTCGTTAGGCTTAACATCGACGAAAATTCAATGCGAAGCGACACGCAACGGAGAAAAATTTCAACACGGGATAAATTAATATATTTTTTCGTACATAATCGGTTATCCGAAAAACAAGTTATCCGAACAACTCCAGTCCCCAATTGATTCGGATAGACAACGCTCTACTGTATTTATATATTTTAAATACAGTACTTTACAAATATTTATTTATAAAATATATATTTTATAATTATAGGATTATAATAATTTATTTTCTGTAAACTTTATACTGTAAATATTTACAGTTTTCAGCGAAGAGACACCAGAACGTTTATATAACAACACAGAGAAGGGAATTCCAAATCATTTTCAAGATTCTGTTATCGCATTATCAAATTCAATGAGCAATTATTTATTGTGATTTCGTCATAATGCCGGACTGCAATTTTGAATCATATTTTTAATTTATTTCATTTAAAATGTATGCTCTCTATCTCAAATTAGTAGTGTCTTGCCTCTGTACATCATACTTTTCCATTGTCGAAGGAGTCGTGCCGGTAATCTACTTATTCCATTCAGGAGAAAATTATTGAATTAAAATAACGTAACTTTCAGTTTGTTTCGGAAGTTCGTATATAGTTAATCGGGACCTCCTGCCCCTAAGATTTCTACGCCTGGTCTTGTCTTCCATCTATCTATCGACAAAGTTGTGTGAAGAATTTGCTTCATATAAATTTAAAACTATAAATTTATTACGACAAAATTCGTATAAAAAGATTAAATTAACAATTATAAATAATGTATTTTTAATAAAATTAAAATATCGTAACACAGTTTTTTTTATTGTGTTTCTTTTAATGTAGGAAAGTACGATCATAAAAAATTTCACGAAGCAAGTTTGAGGAAATACGAACAATATGGCCCTATCGTCAGGGAACAACTCGGTGGTTCTTATAATGCAGTTCTACTGTATGATCCTAAAGATATGGAAAAAGTATTTCGACACGACGGGAAATACCCTTCCAGACCGGGTATCGAATTTTTAGCAGCTTACAGAAATCTTAGGCCACAATGGTATAAATCTGGAGGTTTGGCAGTATTGTAAGTACAGATATTAAACTAAATTAATAAATTTGAAAAAAATTATCGATAAATATTAATTAAAATACCTACGATGATACAACAAATTTAATTGATAGAGAAGGTAAAGAATGGGGCGAATTTCGTGTAAATGTGCAACAGACATTATTGCGACCAAAGTCAGTTCTCAATTATCTAAATCCTATGGATCAGGTAGCTAACGACATGATAAATAAAATTAAAAAGTTAAGAAACGAGTCGAATGAAGTCCCAGAACTCTTAAGCGAGTTATACAAATGGGCTTTGGAATGTAAGTGAATCTTTTAAATGTCTTACAGTCATTGTTCGACGATTATTTTATATTGTACAATTTATTTATTTCGAATTTAGCTTTAGCTTCGATGGCTCTTGACAAAAGATTGGGATGTTTGGAAGATGATTTAAAAGAGGATTCGGAAGCGATGAGAATGATCAGAGCAGCACACGGAACATTCCAAGGGATGAGTGATTTGATATTTGTACCAATGCGTCTTTGGAAGTACATTCCAACAAAAGCTTGGAAGCAATTTGTTGAAGCTCAGGACGATTTTGCAAAGTAAATTGTTTCACTTTTAGATCATCTCAAAATAATGTTAAATGCTATCCGAAACAAATTTCTAATGTATTTTTTTTTCTGTTTTCTATAGAATCGCATTTAAATATGTAAAAGAAGCAATGGAGAGAATCGAAAATAGTAAAGACGAAGACAGAGAAATGACTTTTATCGAAAACTTATTAATGACCAAAAATATCGATCACAGAGATGCAGTTACCATGTTACTAGACATGTTACTAGCGGGAGTTGATACGGTAAGATATGTATAGTATGAAAACTGTAAATGCAATTGTTTGTTTCATATAAATTTCGAAATAGTATCGATATATTGCTAACTGACAATATCAAATGAAAATGTGTGTAGTTTTTATATTGGAAAATTGCCAATTAGGGGAATAATTTGGAAATAGTCTATGCTATAAATCAGAAAAGGATACTGGACTCATATAAGTTAAACAATAATTAATTAGCGCATATACTTTTGGAGAAATAGCTCTTTGTAACTTATGTATTGGTTTTCCTTTGTAACTGTGTTTAAGCGAATATCATAAGTTCTATATAAGTGCATATAATACGTCGTCTACTGAAATGTTAATTATTATAGCGTAAACGTGTTCTAATTTGAAAGTAAAAATACGCGTTCGTGCTAAGTCAACTGCCGTTTTCAGTTTTAAAAATTGATTTTTAGAAATGAGCCAGCCTAGAAATTCGTCTGATTCTTCTTCTCTTCAGAAAAAACGTCCAATTTAAGAAAACCTGGCTTCAAGTGAATGAATTCAAAAATTTGTTAACTAGTAGTAATAATAATAATAGAGTTTGCGCACATGTTCTACGTTATATTTACCGGGCGTTATAATTAGAAACAACGTTAAATGATGTTTGCGCATCCAAGCAGGTTATGTTTTAAGAAGATAACAAATATAGATGCCACTGAAGCTCTCGTTTTGTTTTCTTCTGGAGATATCGAAGATAGTGTCGTGGCATTAACAATTAAATAATTAAGGGTAAAATTGCACTTATGTAGTCCCTATGGCGGCACTTCCGCTCGCCATCTTGTTTGTGGACGCGACGTCCACAAACAAGATGAAGACCGGCGTAGCTACTTATTACACCGGCATTTAAAGAAAAAAAATCTTTCACTCACCGTTGACGTATTTCTAATTCCTTTTCTCTTATTTATTCGGTAAAAAACACGGTTCGGATGATTCTTTCGTAATTTCATCCTTTTCCATCGTAGAAACATTTTCCGCATTCACACACATGTTTACATTCTTCCTCTTACGATTTTCGGACTTATTGGTACTTACTTTCAGGGCTGAAGGTACAATATCTGGCTCTTTCCAAACTGAAACACGTCCCATTCCCGGATAAAACTTACTCGAAGCTGAACAAACAGTTCGAACAGTTCTCTTAGTTTTTTTCCTTTTGCTCACAACAATCTCGTCGATTTCGACAATCTTTCCAGGTCCATCCAATCTTCATTCCGGTAAAATTAGACTATGAAACCATCATAATGTGTAGCACGAAATTCGCCCAGTCAACAGCTGTTCGACCACTCACACCCACAGCCAAACAGATGACGCTCAACGTACCGTACATTCTATGCAAATTAGATGCCAAATAAACAAAAAAATAGTTTCCCAAGAAATTTTCCCAAATTTACGTCGAAAAATTACTTCAAATGAGGAACTGTTCGTATTGTATTTATGACATCGAAAAGAAACAGAATCACGATCCTTTCGATAATTTCATTTACCACGATCATCACATTTCGAACAATCTGCATCTGCAAGTTGCGTACCAAACTTTATGGCAAACTTAACATCCGATGAAATTCTCTTGTCAAGATTAAATTCAAGATATTCCGATACTAAAAAATGAAAGAAACCTCTTGAAGTACACTTTTGCCAAGAAAGTTGTCGATGTTTTCCAAACTCCGACAATACACAACAAAATATCAAATGTAAACTTCGAAAAAAAGATTCACACAACAATATACTGTATAACTTTTTAAACCTGAATAATTAAATTACTCTTAATAAAGTTATAAAATGTTAGGAAATTAATCTAGAACTGAAATGACGTTAGAAATCTTGTAAACTAAAGAAGCGACACCTAGATTAACTTTCAAAACACACGGGTTGTCGAGAAGTGGCGCCATAGGGCTACCTAGATGCACTTGTACCTAATTAAAAGATGATAATTAAAAGCGAGATTGCAAACACAGATACCCAAGCAAAAACAATATAACCGATAAACACCAAGGGCATTCTTATGTGGCGGTGCGAAACGATGACGATGCATCGAAACCGCG